ACACTGATAAACAGACTTTTGTCTGAAGCAGTACAACCACTTTTCTCTTCTTAGGTTAAGGTAAAAATAGGGTGAGGACTGATCATATAGGATGAGATTAAGGCAAATAGATAAATGAGGGATGAGCTGCAGGAACACTGGAAACAAAGGTGGGGAAATTGGAAACTGCTACAAAGGATGACAGAATCCACAAAAAGGGAGAGGAGGGTTTGTGTTCAGTCAGGATGTCGTTAAAGGGAAAGGCCATCAGTAGAAGTGTTATCTCCCAGGACTAGTTTGCCTTGGACTGAGACACTGCTCCTGTGGATGCAAATTTTAAGCTTTGATCACAGTTGCCATAATCTGCCCTTGAAACCCAGCCATGAAAGAAGCAGAAAAAGGCTGAAGCTTGGCAGCCATCTGGCTGAAGTGAAACTGTGTTTGGAAGGAAACAGAAGGGACAAAGAGCTGCTGAAGGTGGGAAATGAGAGATGCTGGCTCTGATGTCAGGACAGTCTTTATGAGGAGGAGGACAGAGCACCTAGCAAGAGCTGGAAAATGCAATACAAGTGTTGGAACAACAGAACAGGAGGTTAAACAGAGGCTGAAGGTCCTGGTGAAAGATCACTCGCCGGTAGGGTCTGACAGTGTGCAGAAGCTGAACTACTTGTCATTTCTGGGAAGCTGCTGCTCCTCCAAAGGTGCCTTAAACTGAAGGCTCATAACTGCTTAGGTTAATCTCACAGGATGGTGGGATATAAACTGATGCCCACACTCGTGTCTCCCTGTTACCTCTGAGTTTTGCCCATGTTTTGCCAACACCTGAAGGCCTCTCCCTCAAGTAGTCTTGGTGCAGACATGCGAGTGACAACCTACCTCTGTCCTGRCTAATCTCATCTCTTCCAGCAAAGGCCCCTTCCTGCATATGTCCTCCTTCATCACCAAGAACATTTTCCTCACCGTCACGGAGACTCCCCACATGGATCATGGTGTGGGGTGGGCAGGTATTGTGAGGTTCAGGCAAAGCCTACAGTGATATTAGCTTCCTCTCTGATTCTTAATACTCACCCTTAATCATGTTCCAGCTCCCAACTCTCTGTATATCAAGTGTGCAGAACATATTAGTTGTGGCAACAGCAGGACATGGACATTAAACTGTTTCCAGGAGTGCTAGGGTCTGGGAAGCAGTAACTCCATCCAGGATAATATCACCACTCTGGACTTGTATCGGCCCTCAGGTCTCAACTCTGCAGAGCTCTACAGAGCTGCCAATRGGCTAAACCTCTGCATGCACTCACAAATAATAAGCCTCATGTGAAAGAGCAGAGAAGTCGTCTGAGTTTAATACATACTGAGAGTCATCTCCATGGAAAGACATCAATATGGTTTTCTGTGCATACAGGCATCCAATAATCAGCATATATTAATTCAGAGCACAACACTGGGTTAGCTGCTCCCTACCCCCTTTTCCTCCCTACTCTGAGCTTTAGCTTAGAGATGCTATCTCTTGTCCAGGAAACAGTACAGCCACATTAATGTGGCAGTGCAATCAGGCTCAGACTGTTTTTGCAGACTTTACTGCAGGGCTAATGATCCCATCACATATATAGGCCAGCTCCAATTCCAGAGCCATCTGGGATGTCTCTTAATAACACAACCCTCTGGAAAGAAAAAAAATCTAAGAACATAGGAACAGGTCTTCCACTATCCATGTTCTAAAGGATCCTCAACTCATGAATATCAGAAACAAGGAATTTTGTGGATGAAACAACGGCCTCAACCAAAATAGATTTGCATAGAATTCACAGAGGTTTTCCTCCTCAGCGATATGGCTGGTACAGAGAATCTACTAAGAGCACATTTTGTGAAGCAGAAGAGGCCAAGATGAACTTGGGAGGAGTGGAGAAGGATTAGGCCTCTACTATTATCCATAAAAAWTTCTCAAACAGAAATTTCTGAAAAGAGAGAGTTCACACCAGCAAGCTATCTTCCCCACACACTGCATTTGGCTTCTGCAATCGTTGCTTCTAGTTGGATGCTTCTTGCAGAATACAGTTATTCCTGAAGGATTTTCTACTTAAGTCTGGTCTTTAATTGAAAAGATTCACCTGAGTTAACAAGAATGATCCTTAACAGGGGCTGTTTCTGGAAGGGGATGCCCAAAGCTGAGCCTAGGAATTCCAATCATAATTTAGCTCAGGCAGACAAAATTTGTTTCGATAGGAGCATTAAACTTCCTGTAGCTTGATATAAGCTGATGGATTCGTGCTTACTCTTGCCATTCGCTGGTGCAAATGAATCACTGTTACTTCTGCCTCCCTGCCCACCCCTCTGCTTGGTCCCTTTTTAATTTTACAGCTTCCTGAGCTTGACACCGGGAAATCGATAAGTAATTTAGAGCCCAGCAAATATAGAAGAAAACAAGTTATTTTGTACTTTTATAAATATTTGGAAGCCAAAATTATCTAAGAAAACAGGTGCTCAGTTGACTCAGCAACCCATCCATCAGCATCACACAGTTAATTGCATAAGATCATAAACATTTATAATTAGAAGGCAAACAAACAAGAATTTTATAAACAACCCTCTTGAATCAGACTGCACATTAAATATTTGTGATAAGGTAATTAAGAATAGATTTACATTCCTGGCTCAGTGTTTAATACTTGGGAGAATGGATTTGGGACTATGGAGGATGTTGTATAGCCAAGGAGAAAATACTTAATTTGGGCTCTTTTATCCATGGCTTAAAGTGATTTCAGAGGAACACTGGCTATGTAATTGATCAGAGTGGAATTTCATTCATTACAGATGAGACAGTTCATATAATATAGAACATTAGACATATATTTATGTGCCTCATATCTCTTGTCATGAACCAATCCACTTTAGACCTGCTTCAAAGGTCTGTTTCCTTCCACATCCTACTGGAACAGCCCTACTTTTTATGGTTCATCCTTTGATCAGGGAGTGTTACAATTTCTGCTGTGTTTCAGTGTTGGAAGCAAAAACCCACGATTTTGCGTTACAACATCCTCATGTTTGGTAATGAAAAACTGGCACCACTACAGGATTACATCTGTGCAATCTCAGTGGTCTATGGGATATGTTTCATATTCTAAGTTCCTGTTTGTGCCCAGCTCCATTCCCTGTCCCAAAATAGCCAGATTTGAATATTTAAAGGATTTAATGCGATTACTTCTACAGCCATTAAGCAAGCTCAGCATCCCATTAAGATGTATATGAGAGTTCCCCTAAAGCTAATTTGTGATCAAGCCAGCATTGCTTCTAGTTATGTTTAGAACCAGAAAGGCTAGAAACTCAATCTATATTGAAGCTAGAGTTCAAACTCTGTAAAATCTGATGTAAAGGCTGAAAAAACAGATGGCTGTATCCCATATGTGAGCACAGGGAGCTCAGTCCTAGTGGTAGGATAACCTTCAGATATTCTGATTTTTTATATATTAAAAGTTTGCCCCAATAATTAGCTGCTGTCAGAAACCAGAGGAGCCTGGAAAAGCTGGATGGAGGGTAAAACTGCAGCATGTGATTGATCAGGGATAGCAGTGAACCACTTCAGTGGTGGCATTCTGCTCGCACACCGCACTGGTGGTCAAGGAAAGCTCCTGGTTTTGGCAGGACTTGACTCTTAGATCTTCAGCATCTTTTGCTGTTTGTTTTTACATTTATATGCTTACAACTGATAGGCAGGACAGCTGCTCCTTTGAGAAACATTTCTGATAATCTTGATCCTGATCAAATAATAGTAAAGTCATCATTATTAAGAAAAAATAAATTAATCATATGCTATCTTGCGCAATGTATATCCTGCTTGTTGGTTTGGTTGCAGTCATATGGGGCACAAGGCTACTTCCCTAATAGGTAGGAAAGACCTCACTTGGCGACTCAGACCTTCTCATTCTGCATAAACCCTACCCTTACATGAAATAACTCTGTCCAAGCTTGTTAGCTGTATTGCATTGTGTCACCTGAGCCAGTCTACTTGAGATGTTCCAGTTTCCTCCAGTTTCAGTGAGTACGGATTCAAAGCATCTAGTCAGAGCCAGGTAGCTTGAATAACAACTGTGGTTAGTGCTCATTTAACGTCATCTTCTAAACAACCTCCAACATTATGTGACCCTTCCAACCATCTTGCCAAGGTGGAGAGCATGCCAGAAACCACTGGGAGATGAACTAATTGATGGATGGAAGGGCCTGAGCTGCTGTGTCTTTGAAATGCAGACAGCATTGGAAGTCAGCAGTCCTAATGGCCGGTTAYCGCTTCTGGATGCCAGCTCTGTCATATGCAGATTGCTAATGGGATATGTAATGTGTGCGTGCGTGGTGTTAGCACATGTGTTGTGCAAGTCTACGTCTGTTTTAAGAGTGGTCTTTTCTGCCCTTGGAAGGTAGCAACAAGGTATCACTGCACCYGATTTGCAGATGAGCAAATGTTTGCCTAYGAGAAAAAAAAAAAATACAGGTATAGMTCTTTTTTTGGGTTTGATTCCCATCTCCGGCCTCCATATGCAAGTCTGCTTTGCTGCTGTGTGTGTGTGGAGATACTGGTCTGTGCACACGGTGATGCCGGTGCAGCAGACGTCACCAGCACGTCAGCTCCACGACACCCCCTCCACACGCACACCGCGGCTCGGTGAATCATGCCTGTGCCGCATGCAAAAYCACTCCAGTCATGGATAAACCCCAGGCTTTTGTTGAAGAGACRCTGTTTTGCTCTAAGAGCATAGCCCACCCTGCTGCATTTAAGATTGCAAAGATTATTGATCGCCAAGATAAAGCTGTAATGCATTTGATTCAGGGGACAAGGGACCCGGCAGAGCAGGAGTGCTGGTGCTCTGCCAGTCGGTAATTAAAAAACATGATTTATCATTGAATAACTGTGGTTAAGGGACAGCCGAGCTAACCGGCTAGCTAGAGGGAGTGATGCTGGGGTAGGTTTATGAATCTTCCTAAAGTTTTGTTTCTGTTTTTATGTTTACTTCTTTCCCCCTTCCCTCCAGGTCTAATAATACACGAAGGGCCCTCGGTTTACCGGATTTTTAAGCGGTGGCAGGCGGTCAATCAGCAGTGGAAAGTGCTGAACTATGACAAAACAAAGGACATGGAGGAGCAAAAAACAGGGACCAGGACAAACCAGCGCCCTTCCTCCCAAACCACCCACTCGTCCTCCACCGGTGGTACAGCCACTAACTCCGCGCCAGCCGACAGCGGGGCCCGGGCTGCCGGCCATGCCACAGGCACCCTCTCTGACCACCACTGTGCTTACACCATCCTGCATATACTCAGCCACCTGAGGCCTCACGAACAGAGGAGCCAGTCTAGTAGTAACAGAGAGCTCGTCATGAGGGTCACGACGGTCTGAGCCTAGGAATTCAGGAGGCCTTAACGCGGAGTGGAGGAGACCAAGAACTCATAAAGCAGAGGAGCATGGTGTGCCTTTTTCTTTCTCTTTCGTTTTTTTTCCCCCTTTTTCTTCCTTCTTTTCTTTTTCTTTTTTTTTTTTTTTTTTTGGTAAATGCACAATATGTAAGAGGCGACGCTTTGTCAGCTGAGGAAAATAACAGGTGGAGGGAGAGCCGCACACTCATGCTAAAGAGGTTCATGTTTTCCAGCCAGTTAAGAGAAAAATGAAAAAAAACAAAAACACAAATCACAAAAAAAAAAGTGCAATACAGACTAAAAACTGAGTAGGCAGAGTTCTGGGGAGGCAGAGGAGCAGATGCTTTAGCACATCTTTCARATTCTGTTACCTGGAACAGGTAATGCTGTGTACACACGCCCCGTGCACACACACACAGGGGTAAGATTGAGAGAAACAATGAAGGAAATGAAATATTCTGGGTATTTTTATTTTTCCCAGTCTGCGGTTAAGCAGGGCTATGAGTCGTTTTGTTTCATGAGTCACTCTGGAACCTTGTTCGATTTACTGTAGGATAGCTGAAGTGAAATGAAATGGCTGGGGATTTTTTCAGTATTGATTTACCAAAAAAAAAAAAAAAAAAAAAAAAAGAAGAAAAGAAAGGAAGTGAATTGAATCACCTCAGCAAGATAGTCTAACAAAGCCCAAGCCTACCAGATTTCACCAAAACAAAAATTCTGATTTTTCATAATGTTTTTGACAAAGGGTTTGTGAGGGTGGAGTTACAGGGGCAGGGGTGGGGGTGGCATTCTATGACTTTTATTTGACGTATAGACATTTCTGGCAAATTTGTACAAATGCTCTGCAGGTGTTTCAAGCACAAGTCCTGGCGTGATTTATGCCTTCATAACCCCCAAATCCACCATTCAAACCTTCCCACTCACACGCATCATTTTCCAGATTGTTTTCTGTCCCTTTTCCCTACAGTCACAAGAAGGTGACCCACCTCGGTGGGTTGCTTCTCCTTGYTGATTCAGACACTCCTACATTAGGAATATGCATCTTTTTTCGTGTGTGCATCTCTGCTGCTCAATTGGCAACAGGGTCTCACTCAGTCCCATAGGCTGAACCCTCCATTTTCAACTTGTTAGTTTACTGCAGAGTCTGTTCCGACCAATTATTCACCAGAGTGAGTTAGTCTGAAGAGGGAGCACAGTTGCTGACCAAGTGTTTTATGCTCCTAATAAGCCTCCTTTACTGGGATTTATCTACARAGGTACTGGTTGCTCTTCAGGAACATCCTCTTTCAATGCACAATRGCTGAATCATTTGTGGATATTAAAGGGACACTGTCAAGTACTTTTTAAATAGTTTTTAGGATTTGGGCTTTTTTTACTCTCCATTGTTTGTAATATTCTCTTACAAGCTTGAAAATAAAATTTCTTTCCCTACAGATTTTGTCCTTTTCCATTTGGGCATGTGCCGTTCTCTCCACTCACCCCATTCCTCTCACCATCGCCACCGTTCCGCTGCGACGGGGAGTCAAGCGAGGTGCCCTGTTCCTGACCTCAGGCTCGCTGTCCTTGTGCCATGCAGGGTATGTCCTGGCTCTGGGAGGTCGAGCTGGCCAGGGTAACTGCCACGAAGGAAACATGCAAGTAGAAACCTCAAAAATACAGAGATTAGCCAGGAGCRACAGCTCAGCAGGTCCAAAACAGTGAGCTCACAGTGACCAAGCCTGAACTCAGCCCTCCTCAAATTAATGTAAGGACTTTAGCCAAATGTCACCCGTTTTGCAGAAGTGCTGACCAGCGCTGCACAATGGCTGTGCCTGACTGCCCTGTTACTCCACCAGTTCTCCTGGCGTTGGGGCATGCGAGTCACCGGCATCTCCGGCAGTGAGGCCATCATGGGTGAGGTGACTGCAGAAGATGTCAAGCTTTAAGCTCTGTGTTCAAAATCATCAGCCATTTTGCAGTGTAGAAGATGGAGGTTAGCATCTTAAGGCAGGTCGTATTTTTCACCTCAACTACTTGACAGTGTCCCTTTGAATATCCGAATGCAACAGAACAGGTACTTCTCTGGGAGAGAAAGTGGGAGATGAAACACCAGCCAAGAAAGCTGAGTTACTGAGGATCCATGCACGCAGCATGGTTTCTGAGACCACTGTACCTTTATGTGACCAACCTTACTATCTACCAAAGAGTGCTTTTGGCTGAGGGATGGGAAGAGATAGTGGCAGGAGAAGGGAGAGGGAAGAGGCAATTCCGATAATTTCTAAAAGCAACTACCCCAGAATGAAGGTGTTGCAATGAATGGGTCTCTAGAAGAACAGCTTCTGCTCCACAATACAGAGAAAYACAATCAAGGCGAGCAAACACAACCACCTCTCACCCTTCATCCCTCTCCTGGAAGATGTCTTTCTTCCTAGAGATGGGTAATTGTGGTGGTTTGGGGAGGCAGGAGGCATAGACAACAGAAGGGATAGCTGTRAGATATAATTTGTTTCCCTCCCTGTCTTGTATTCATTTAATATGGAGAAGTCAAATTCCTTTAACTTGACTAAATACTAAAAGTTTATAAGGTCAGAAGCACAACTTGCCATCAAAGAGTGGCATGATCTAGTAACCTGAGCACACAGGACTCTGCATACTCTCACTCCAGCTCTGCCACCAACTCTGTAGCCTTGGGCTGTTTGGCTCAGTCCCCTGACCACACAAAGGGGGAATAACAATACGTACCTACCTCACAGGGGTGTTGTGAGAATTCACATTCGCAAAGCCTGTTGAAGTGCTAAGTCTCATGCGTGCGCACCACAGGTCGTCGCGGGGGTGAGCGGTGCTGCCCTTCTGATGGTTATAGGCTGAATGACTCAGCGAGGGTCTACGGGACCTCTCCTGCTCAGAGACCCTCCTTGACCCAAAGGGGAGGGTGTCATCTGAGTCCCCTCTCCTCCATTGCATGACATTTTAAGCAGCTGTGAGGTGCAGGGTAGTGACAGACATGAAGTCCTACTTGACCAGGGATTTGCTACAACGTTTTCTATATCTGTGGGGTTTGTTGGTTTGTTTTCTTTTTTTCCATATATTGCGCTTAGAAATAAACTTTCCACTTAGGGCTGGTGGTTCGGGGTCTCTTCTGTTGCATGGCAATGTATACAAGTCTTACTGTCTGTCTTACTGTGCAAATGATCCTGCAGCCCAATTTCAGAGATGGGTATGGTCTGAGCCTTTTCATATTGGCCTGAGACTCAAAAGCCTGTCTAGATTGTTTAATATTTAAACAACATTATGAACTTGTCAATTGTTTGTGTTCTGTGCAATACGAAGCATGTCATTACCTGGCTTGATGGGCAGAGGGGCAAAACTTGTTCAAAGAGCTTCATTCACGCGCCAGCTTGGAGCTGAAGGACTGCCACCAGCACAGTTAACTCGGGAAAGCCATTGGAAACTGTTTGCAAATCAGTTTTTTTCCAGAACAAGGTGCTTCTGAGTTTATGAACTTCTAGGCTGCCAGCCTGGGAGAACACGTGCAAACACAGTGTTGGGTTCGGGATTTTCTTCCCCCTCCCCTGCCTCCCAGCATTGATGGCAGAAATATCAAGGAGGGTCTCTTCCTTCCATAGCACAGTTCTCTCGTCTCCCTCAGCCTCTTTGTGCCATCCCCCTTGTGCTACTATGCAGGACTTCAGAAGGTGCAAATGGAGACAGTGTGCTCCTGAGGCACGCCAAGTGCGTTGTGTAGAGGAAGGGTCCAGCAGACTGAAAAGATGAGGCAGAGCTATGCTACTGAAGGCATCTCTTCTTACTGACATCTTTCCTCTGGTCTTGTCTGCTGCTTCCTAAAAGGACATTATTTGTATTTTGTTACAAAGCAGACAGACCAGCTTCCAGCAACAACCAAGTCTTGTAAAATGTTTGGCAGCTGTTTCTCCCCATGGAGAAAATTCTAGGTCCTATCACTGTGGAGACCCCTCCGTTCTTGGGCTTTGTCATCTTCCAGCTCTGTTTGAGGGTGTTCAGGATGGAAGACTGYGTTGACCCACCATCAGAAATAGTGTGTGTATGGTCCTGATCATTCTTGTGATTTCTCCTACAGTCTCCTGATTTTATGTCAGTTTTGACAGGTCTTTCTGGTAATGTTCTTCAGAGGTGATTCAACTCTGTGTGAGTTCTCAATGCTGTTTTTGCCTACAGAAACATCAGTGTTGGCCTCCAGCTTCCAAAGCTCTTCCACTTCTTGCCATTCAGTCYCTTGCTAAATATCCACTTCCACGTTCAGATCCTCTTTCTCCGTGCTTGCATTGGCTCAAGCACATGCACTAAYCCTGAGGGTGACCAGAGATCACAGGGACCATGGAGACACTATATTACAGTCAGACTCTGTAACCCCTGTCATTCTTATTTGATATATATTCGCTTTGCCAATCTCAGTGCCTGCTACTGTAACTGGTTGCCACAAAAGACGAACCACCGAAAAACTGGTACATCGAAGCAACACTTGGTTTCCAATTTCAAATGTCAGTAGTGATGAGTCGTATTTCAAGTAAGTCAAGTATATTCCCTTTTGATAGTCGGAATTCATGCGAGGACTGTGGCTTCCCAAGCAAGGTGCTGAAAAGGTCCGTATCTCACTTTATTATGCCGGGCAGAGCCAAGGAAAGAGCAAGTCAGCAACAAAGGTTTGAGTCGAGAGAGGCATCAGTGGCCTGCTGCATTTTCACTCAGGGAGACAGGAAAATACTGCTTATGTCTGCCAGTTCTTTGACATTGCTCTAAGCCCTTATCTGTCAGCAGTAGAATATCAGAGCCAATGCCTGTAGGTGGAGGACATCTGAAGATTATCCAGTACTGAAGACCATGCTCTCAGAAGACCCAAAATTTAAATTTGAAGACCCAAATTTAATTGTCAGTCATCCAAACTCTTATTTTCTCCAAGAGGAAATATATATATTCGTCAGACCTCTCCTATATCTCACAGCTCCTTGCAGTGCTCTAAACAGGCAAATATAAAAACTCACCAGGCACAATGCAGCAACTTTGTTTAAGTAAA